CTAACACTTGAGAACAGCTACTCCCCATATGCTCAATTTTCTCTCTTGTCAAGATGATGATGATACTTCTTAAGTGGGGAGGTACTTTCTTAAATGAATGTGATTATTATGACAAGGGCTCTGGAGTAGTAGGACCTGATTTTAAATTTCAGCTCTTCTACTTAGTTCTTTTCTTTTTTTTTAAGATTTTATTTATTCATTTGAGACACAGAGAGAGAGCATGAGCAGCAGGAGAGGTAGATGGAGAGGGAGCAGCAGACTCCCCACCAAGCAAGGAGCCCGATGCGGGACTCGATCCCAGGACCCTGAGATCATGACCTGAGCCGAAGGCAGATGCTTAACCATCTGAGCCACCCAAGCACCCTACTTATTTCTTTTCTTGAGTTTCAACTTGCTTATCTGTGAGATGGGGGTGCTAAATAGGGCTTGTTTTCAGAATCGAATAAGGTAATTTGATCCTAGCATATGATAAATATTCAATCAATGTTAGCTCTTATTTTTTTTAAAGATTCTATTTATTTATTTGAGAGAGAGAGAATGAGAGGGAAGAGGGTCAGAGGGAGAAGCAGACTCCCTGCTGAGCAGGGAGCCCGATGCGGGACTCGATCCCGGGACTCCAGGACCATGACCTGAGCCGAAGGCAGCCGCCCAACCAACTGAGCCACCCCGGCGCCCCAATGTTAGCTCTTATTGTTACCAGGTTAACCTTTTTTTTTTTTAATCTTTAAACTGGGGAAATTATAGCATCTACCATCTAGGGCAGGGGTTGGTAAACTTTTTCTGTAAAGGGCCAGACAGTAAATATTTGAGGTTTTAGGGACCACGCGGTCTCTGTTGCTGTTGCAACTACAAAGTTCTGCGGTTGTAACGTGGAAGTGGCCATAAATAATGCATAAATGAATGAGCATGGCCAGTGTTTCAATAAAACTTTATTTGCACAATCAGGCAGGGGGCCAGATTTGGCCCGTGGCCATAGTTGCTAACCACTCATCCAGGATGCTGTGAAGATTAATTGACATGAGGCTTATCGTGAGCCCAGCACAGTGCCTGGCACGGAGCACTCAGCATAAGAAGGGATTCTAACCATCTCACATCTAATTTGAGGTCTAGGCTTAGTTCCTTTCTCCAGGAGAAGGAAAGCACGCATAAGCAAGGCTTTTCAACACAGGTATCAACCCCATTCTCAGCCCCAAATCAAAGCTAAACGTTCCTGTCAGCACCTGGAGCCTCAAGGTGCTGAGGTGTGGAGATAAAATGCCAATCCGTGGAGTGTGAGTCTTTGTCCCATGTTTTGCCCCAGGATATGTGGCCATTTTCACCCTCTGTCCCATGGAAATCAGGCTGCCCATCTGAACCACAATGTGAGAAATGAGAATACTTACAGGCATTCCCAACCATGAATGCCTTTAGCCCTGGCCCAGAGGCTATACAATGTGCTTGAGAGAGAGAGAGAAAGATTGAGCCCTGGGTTTGCATTCTAACTCTGTAACGTTCTGATTGTGTGATGTTGGCCAAGTCACTTCCTTCTCGAAGCCTCTGATTCATCAGGTATAAAATAAGGATTAAGTGAGATCATATAAAGCCTCAGCACAGCATAGCACATGGTAGCTACTGAAAAAGGAAGGAAGAGATGCTAAGAGGTAAAGGGCTCATTCAAGGTCATGTGACGGGGTGAAGTACCTGCGTTTTGGAGGCAGTCGAGGGCTCAGCTACTTTCCTAGCCAGCTCTGAGCCTTTGTTTCCTTATTTGTTCAACAGAGAACATCTTGATCCTGCTGGTTTATGGTGAGGATGAAAAGAGATGGCACAGCAGAGCGGGCTGGTGGTGATGACCAAGGGCATCATAACCACACGTGGAGGCTGACGTGCCTCGGCTGATTCCATCCTCACGACTGCCCTGGGTGTCCTCACATGAAACTGAGTCACGAGATGTTAACTAAGTCCCCCAGGCCACACAGGTAGTGAGGGGCAGAGCTAGGACTCAAACCCAGCCATCCGATTCCAGAACGCCCCCCACCTCCCCACCCCTGGTCACCATGACCCTCTATTGCCCAAGCTGGGCCTCTAGCCTGGTTGGAATCCGGCACACAGTAATGCTCAATTAATATTACTATTTTTATCCTGTGCCTTGCTTCCTTCTTCCTTCCTTCCTTCGTCCTTCCTCAAGTCGGGTCTCAGTGCTCCAGCCCCAGGAGCCATCTCAGTCTTGGGGGGTGGCAAGGTAAGAGGACCCCAGATCTGATTCCAGAAGCCTTGAGATCACGACTCAGCATGTCACATGGACAATTCCTAAAATTCCTCCTTAGACATCTATCTCTCTTCTCAAGTCCCCATCCTGAGACAGCTCCTCTGATCCTTTTCCCTCACCCTTTCTGACACTCACCCCTCCAGCCTCCCCTTCTCCCCTCCTACCCCCATTTCCGCATCAGCTTGGCCTGACCGCAGGATGGTCTTCAGGACACGCCATGCTTGGAGGGCCGCAGAAGGGGATAGTGAATATGCCCGATTTAACATTTCCTCTGTCTGCCCATCTCCCCGCTACCCATCTAGACGCCCTGCCCTCCTCCCTGGCTCAACACCGTACCTGTCCATGCTGGGAGATCTGGGAGTTCTCGGAAAGTATAAAGAGAAGCAGACGCTCCTTTGGGGGGCTGAGCCGAGCGGGGACAAGATCTCCAGCTGGCCTAGGGCTGCCATATGCCTCAATTTCTTCGCCCTGACTCATTTCTTGGTCTTTCCCCCCTTGACTTTGTCCTCGTTTATCTCTTACAAATTGTGAATTACCTCGGAGAGCGTTAGGGAGGCCATTGGTTTCCAGGTGGGAATCAGCTCTAGGTCACAGCCTTCCTCCTGTGTCCTCAGCACATTGGGGAGTTCTGATGGGTGGAAGCTTTCCAAACCATCAGCTCGGAGGTAAGGACAAAGACAGACGCCCGGCAGCAGAAGCAAGTTGTTGGATGTAGAAAGAAGGTACAGATGTGGGTCCCATGGAGTTGGTCTCAGTAAAGCAAACTGTCTCCTCCCCTATATCTTTTTCTCTAACCGGGAAAGATCTTAGGACACTGCAGCCTTTAAAACCCAGCCATGCACTCCGGCAATGTGGCCTAAAGGCACCTCCTCGATGCATGCAAGGGCTGAGCTTCGAGAACGCTCGTCCCGGGGCTGATTATGGTGGGGAGAATGGAAAACAATCTAACCGTCTGGGGGTTGGTGGAGTGATTCACGATACAGCCACAAATAGAAGATCACACAACCTTTCCCACTGCTGCTGGGGAAGAATATCCAAGGACGTGTGGAAATGCTCACGATATGTTATGTGAAAAGAATGGGTAATAAAATGTGATACCCTAACTTTATATGACAAAAACCAGACCTGCATCATGGCGGAAATATAGGTATACAATGATGTGGGTGTGTATGAACATTTTTAACTACTAACATTTTAGCATACATTTTTCCAGTTTTTTTTTTTTTAAGGTATGTGTATTGGGGCGCCTGGGTGGCTCAGTTGGTTGAGCGTCTGCCTTTGGCTCAGGACACGATCCCAGGGTCCTGGGTTCGAGCCCCGCGTCAGGCTCCCTGCTCAGCAGGAGTCTGCTTGTCCCTCTCCTCCCCACTCATGCTGTTGCTCTCTCTCTCAAATAAATAAATAAAATCTTAAAATACATAAATACATAAATACATAAATACAATCTTTAAAAAAAAGGTATTGTGTACTTACTCCTTATTGCAGGTTTGTACCCTTAACAACTCTTTAAACAAAATCAATTTTATCCTCCTCTCCAATCCCCTGGTAACCACCATTTTACTCTGTTTTCTACAAGTTTGACTATTTAGATTCCACATGTAAGTGATAATCATACAGTACCTTTGCCTCACTTTCCTCACTTAGTATAAGATGCTCAAAGTCCATCCTTGCTGTCACAAAGGATATCCTCCTTCCTCGTGGCTGAATAATATTCCATTTGTTTATATACCACATCTTTTTTTATCCATTCATCCACTGATAGGTGTTTAGGTGATTTTGTGTCTTTGATACTATGAAATACATGTGTGTATATAATATTCTGCATAGAAAACATACAAAAACCCCATATGTATTACCCTAAATATGCACAGCACATATATAATATATATAATCATTGTTATTCTAATCATATAAATTATCATATATATATTGGAAGAATGTACATCAAATAAATACGAGACAGGAAGAATGTCCATCAACATGTGGATCGTGGTTCTCTCTGGGCAGTGGGGTTACAGATGACTGTTTTTTTTTTTTTTTTTTGCCTAGCTGTATGAGCTGAATTTTCTGCAACAAACTTGTATTACTTAATATTACTATTCCTTACCTTACTTAGTATTTCTATAAGATAATGATTAATAGTATTGCTGTAAAAGAATGATTATAAAATGATTTTTTTAAAGATTTTTATTTGTTTGAGAAAGGGAGAGCGTGAGAGGGGGGAGGATCAGAGGGAAAAGCAGACTCCCCGCTGAGCAGTGAGCCCGAAGCGGGACTCGATCCCCGGACTCCAGGATCATGACCTGAGCCGAAGGCAGATGCTTAACAGACTGAGCCACCCAGGCGCCCATAAAATGATTTTCTGCCTGAAGCTGGCCTTGGTCCTGAGGCTGGGATAAGGGACAAATGGCTGCAGTCAAGGAGAGCAGAGGCTCAGGAGCTGGGACCAGGCAGGGACCATCAAAGCCACGTGTACACCCTTGAACAGGTTTGGTGAGCCCACCTGAACCTCCTCTTGCCATTGTAACAGGGATTCCCATGGAAAACATGTTTTCCGGGTTCCCAAGGGCTGGCTCCTTAAATGCACATGTACCCCTCAGGCTGTCGTCTGTGTGCCCTCGCGGTGTGCCCAGGGTGCTGGGGCAAAGGCTGCTTGCTCCCTGGAATGAGCACGAGGACGGTCCTAAGGGAATTCTTGAAAACTGGGGTGGCCTTGGGGTCTTGACACCTACGTTTCATGTCTCCTGCACAGATCAGCTGGACATCATCTGCATGGCAGAGACAACCATGATGCCGGAGGAGATCGAACTGGAGATGGCGAAAATTCAGCGCCTCCGAGAAGTCTTGGTCCGACGGGAGTCTGAGCTTAGGTTTATGTGAGTGCCTCGGGGAGGTGGCCAAGAAAAAGAAGGGGTGGGGAGACGGGGACACCCAGAGAAACTACCATTTACTATGTATCACTACAGGCCAGACGCCAGGATAAAGGCATTACATACGTTTAAAAAACTCTTATTTGGTTCTCACGACGGCCTAGAGGCATGGGTATCAGAATCTTCCATTTTATTTTTTATTTATCTGTTTTTTTAAAGATTTATTTGGGAGAGAGAGCGAGCAAGCACGGGGAGGAGGGGCAGAGGGAGAAGGAGGGAGAGTCTTAAGCTGACTTGGCGCTGAACACAAAGCCCAGCGCAGGGCTCGATCTCACAACCCTGAGACATGACCTGAGCTGAAACCAAGAGTTGGATGCTCAACCAACTGCGCCACCCAGGCGCCCCCTAGAGTCTTCTATTTTAAACAAGACCCTGAAGTTGGGATTGAATCCAAGCCAGTCTGACTCAAAGACTCAAAGAGCCCAAGCTCTTTCTATATTTGCTTCTGAGAAGAGAAAAGGGAAGAGGGAGAGGGAGACATAGGGACCCAGAAGTGGTACCTGTGTCCGCATCATTAAGCATGCACACTCTGGGTTCAGATAGTTATGAGATCCAAAAAAGCTGGGAGAGCCTGGGGAAAGTTCTCCCTGAGCTTCATTTCCCTGACTTGTGAAATGGGGCGGGGGGAATGATAGTACCTCTCTCCTGGGGTCACCGGCAACCCCAGAATCAGATGATTTGACCCAACCTCCACTGGAAAAAGCAGCAACATGGCGCCTTCTGGGCCGGCGCTGGAAGGGACACATTCCACGAATTCTTTCACTGATTTCACTGAGGTCCGTTATAGGATTATCCCATTTTACAAATGAAAAAGACTGAGGCTCAGGGAAGTTAACCTGCTCGGGCCTCCCAGCTAGTAAACAGAGCAATTAGGATTCAGATCCGGCTCTTCCTGCTTTCAAAATCCATATTCTCCTTGGATGACCTTCTACATATACCGCATAATGTGACCTTCTCTCTCACCCCGTGAGGTAGACCGCAGGATTAATAGCTGCCATTTATTTAGCTCTCTGTGTGGGCCAGACCCTGTGCTAAGTGCTTCATGGGCACGATCCCTCCTCCCAGGAGCCCTTGGAGGAAAGTTCTAGAACATCCCCACCCTACGAATAAGAAACATCTTCCCTTTGATCTGGAAATAAACTAAACCAATACATACATGAGTGTGGAGAAACAATCCTTTCCTCCTCATGGTTTTTGTTTTTGTTTTTGTGTTTTTTGTTTTTCAAAAGAACTCGAGGAAGGATTGGTTGTGTGGGAGAAGTATTAACTAAGACCAGGTGTTACTATTAAGTCAGGTGATTCCAACTACCGACAAAGCCAGGACTGGACAGGAGTTTGAGGTGCCTGTGGGTTACCCAAGTGCAGATGAGTGGCAGGAAGTTCTGTGTCTTTGTTGTGTGCGGGAGATCACGAAACTAGACACAGATTCTCGTGTTCGCCCTTGACTACGGAACTGAAGTAACGGGTACAGTCACTCCGCGGAAACGAGCAAACAGCAAGGATCCAGGTATAGGTCAGGAAATGCAGAAATCTCCGTGCAGCTCCTACTTGTGGATGAACTCAGGGCAAAGGGAAAAGCCATAAAGTATGGAATAGTTGAGAGTTCACTGGCAGCAAGAGGGTTGGGATGATCACACTCTCTAAATAATACAGGTGCGCCTTAGAGGTATTGTGGGTTCGGTTCCGGACCCCTGCAATAAAGCAAACCTTGCTATAAAGTGAGTAAGGTGAATTTTTTTGGCTTCCCAGTGCTTATAAAAGTTATGTTTACACTATACTATTGTTTATTAAGTGTGCAAATGTGTTGTCTTAAAAAAAACAATGCACAGGCCTTAATTAATTAGCTCTATTGCTAAAAACAAAAACAAAACAAAAAACCTGCTAACCGTCTTCTGAGCTTTTGGAGAGTTGTAATCCTTTTGCTGGTGGAGGGTCTTCCCTCGATGTTGATGGCAGCTGACCCATCAGGGTGGTGGCTGCTGAAGGTGGGGGTGGCTGTGGCAGGTTCTTAAAACAACAATGAAGTCTGCTGCATGGATGGATTCTTCTTTTCCTCAACGATTTCTCTGTAGCATGGGATGCTCCTTGATCGCATCTCACCCACAGTAGAACTTCCTTCCAATCTGGGGTCAACCCTCCAAACCCTGTCACTGCTTTATCCACTAAGTTCATGTCATATTCTCAGTCCTTTGTTGTCATTTTGACAATTGCATGGCATCTTCAGAAACCATTTTCTTTGGGGTGCCTGGGTGGCTCAGTCGTTAAGCGTCTGCCTTTGGCTCAGGGCATGGTCCCAGGGTCCTGGGATCGAGCCCCGCATCGGGCTCCCTGCTCCACAGGAAGCTTGCTTCTCCCTCTCCCACTCCCCCTGCTTGTGTTCCCTCTCTCGCTATCTCTTTCTGTCAAATAAATAAATAAAATCTTAAAAGAAAGAAAGAAAGAAAGAAAGAAAAAGTTAAAAAAAAAATGATTTTCTTTGCTCATCCATGAGAAGCAGCTGCTTAGGGGCACTTGGGTGGCTCAGTCGTTAAGCGGCTGCCTTCGGCTCAGGTCATGATCCCAGGGTCCTGGGATCGAGCCCCACATCAGGCTCCCTGCTCTGTGGGAAGCCTGCTTCTCCCTCTCCCACTCCCCCTGCTTGTGTTCCCTCTCTCTCTGTGTCTCTCTCTGTCAAATAAATAAATGAAATCTTAAAAAAAAAAAAAAGCAGCTGCTTACCTGTTAATGTTTTATCAAGAGATGGTAGCAATTCAGTCCCATCTTTAGGTTCCACTTCTCATTTCGGTTCTCTTGCTATTCCCACCACAACTGCACCAACTTCCTCCACCGAAGTCTTTTTTTTTTTTAATCTTATATTGTTATATTAATCACCATATATTACATTAGTTTTTGATGCAGTGTTCCATGATTGTTTGTGCATAACACCCAGTGCTCCACGCAGAACGTGCCCTCTTTAATACCCATCACCAGGCTAACCCATCCCCCTACCCTCCTCCCCTCTAGAACCCTCAGTTTGTTTCTCAGAGTCCATCGTCTCTCATGGTTCGTCTCCCCCTCCGACTTACTCCCCTTCATTCTTCCCCTCCTGCTATCTTCTTCTTTTTCTTTTTTCTTAACATATGTTGCATTATTTGTTTCAGAAGTACAGATCTGTGATTCAACAGTCTTGCACAATTCACAGCGCTCACCATAGCACATACCCTCCCCAATGTCTATCACCCAGCCACCCCATCCCTCCCAGCACCCCCACTCCAGCAACACTCGGTTTGTTTCCTGAGATTAAGAATTCCTCATATCAGTGAGGTCATATGATACGTGTCTTTCTCTGATTGACTTATGTCACTCAGCCTAACACCCTCCAGTTCCATCCATGTCGTTGTAAATGGCAAGATCTCATTCCTTTTGATGGCTGCATAATATTCCATTGTGTATATATACCACCTCTTCTTTATCCATTCATCTGTCGATAGACATCTTGGCTCTTTCCACAGTTTGGCTATTGTGGACATTGCTGCTATAAACATCGGGGTGCACGTACCCCTTCGGATCCCTACATTTGTATCTTTGTGGTAAATACCCAGTAGTGCAATTGCTGGATCGTATGGTAGCTCTATTTTCAACTGTTTGAGGCACCTCCATACTGTTTTCCAAAGTGGCTGCACCAGCTTGCATTCCCAACAACAGTGTAGGAGGGTTCCCCTTTCTCCGCATCCCCGCCAACATCTGTCGTTCCCTGACTTGTTAATTTTAGCCATTCTGACTGTCCACTGAAGTCTTGAACCTTCAATTTGTAAAAAATGCAGTATCTTTGAAGTGTAATAAAGCAAAGCACAGTAAAATGAGGTGTGCCTGTACATGCAAATTAAGTCTTTCTTCCTCCGTTCTATCTTTAATCCCAATTCATAAAAATGACCTATGTTAATAGTAATGGTTTTTATTAATTCTGACTAATAGTTTTACAACTGTTCTTCTATTACTTAATATATAACCTTTAGTTGGGGCGCCTGAGTGGCTCAGTCGGTCGGTTAAGCGTCTGCTTTTGGCTCAGGTCATGATCTCAGAGTCCTGGGATGGAGCCCAATATCGGGTTCCCTGCTCAGAGGGGAGCCTGCTTCTACCCCTCCCTCTGGCTCCCGCTTTCTCTCTCAAATAAATAAAATCTTAAAAAAAAGAAAAGATTTTGTGCCTCCCTCTTCCAACTCCCCACTGTCAATGTGTGCTCTCTCTCTTTAAAAAAAAGAAAGAAGGGATGCCTGGGTGGCTCAGTCGGTTAAGCGGCTGCCTTCGGCTCAGGTCATGATCCCAGGATCCTGGGATCGAGTCCCACGTTGGGCTCCCTGCTCGGCGGGGAGCCTGCTTCTCCCTCTGCCTGCTGCTCTCCTGCTTGTGCTCTGTCTCTCTCTCTGATAAATAAATAAAATCATTAAAAAAATAAAAATAAAAAAAAGAAAGAAGACAGAGAACAGGAGTTCTGCTGTAAAGTACTGAAGAGCTCCCTTCAGCCCAAGGGTGCTTAAGAGGGAGCAAAGTTTGCTTTTTTTTTTTTTTTTTTGCTGCTACAGGAACAATGGCTGTTACTTTGCATTTACTGACCTTTGCATCTGGTGTGTGCCCACACTCGGTATCCCCAGCATCTGGCCCATGCCTGGCACGCAGTGAATGAGCAATGACAAGAACAGCTAGCGTGTAAGCTCCAGCTCTGGGCCAAGGAGGGCACTAAACTCTTGAGTCACTGAATTTCCCCATCATGCCCACTTAGGGACAAATCTCAACTGTAGAACCTTGAAAATCAAGTTATTCAAAGGATACAGAAAGAGGTCAGTGTAGTCAAGACATAAGAGGGGCTCAGTGCCATTCTCCAGGGGAGGGGCCGGCTTCCAGGCCCCCCTGGGGTGGGGGGAACTTGCTAGGAGCCTGCAGACAATAGTGGATTCTACTGACAGCCC